CTCGTGTGTGGGAAATTAACGTCTCCTACCCCAACCCTGCAGGAGACGGGACCTCCATTTATTCGTCCCTATCCGAGAAGACTAGAATATCTAACCTTTTCTTGATGTTATAGAAAGGTAGCAAATTCTTCTCAATTATTTTAAGACCTTGAGTGTTGGTCCGGCCGGGGCTCGAACCCTCGACCTCCCGCACAACAGTCCAGCGCTCTATCCATTGAGTTAACCGGGAGGCGGTTATTGTATAGGTTTGAAAACGGACTTGACATTCACTAAGCCAAGAACAGAAAGCTTCCCAGAAAACTTTGGTAACATTACAGTAGAAAAAGATATGTTCGAAGGATTCAACCTCTTGTCTAATTTGAAACTACAGGACATCTTTACCTTCAAAACCTTTCTGTAAGGTCGAGATCACTACAGTTTGACTTTTTTGTGTTTTTCCGTTTGGTAAAGTAACTTCGCCCAAATGTCTTGTTTGGTCAACTTGTTCCTTACAATCGCAGGAGCTACCTGCACCTACTTTATTTTTTTCCAATTCCAAGTCCGTGAATTTTATTGTAACACTTGTCCTGGGAAATGAATAATGACTATAAAGTTTTGACTGGTAAAAAATAAACGAAATATACCCGATCCCATTGTATGAAAGGAGGATAGACCACGCCCTTTTGGGCCAAACATATTCATAAAGCAGTCACAGACACAGTTTTGTGGAAGGAGTACCCTGTTACTCCTTAATTAAATCATCATATCATTGTCAGTTGCACCATTTTCCTAACAGTTGCATTTGGTTTGCAAAATCTGATGAGCAATATTCAGAGAGTTTTCACAATGTTAACACAAGGGGATGCCAAGTAAAACAGGTTGAGCGGGAGGCTGTAGGGAAGTTTTTGCAATCAATGAGATGCAAATTTCATTTAAAAAAAAAACTTTCCATGCCCCTAAATGCTTGTAAAATACGAGTGCAGGTAACCCCAACAAGAGGGTCCCTTATACTATTTACGCGAAGCGTGATTGGGTGATTTTTTCTCATGAATTGTGATTTAATTTTTTCTTTATTCGTAAATGTGATGAAAGAAGATAACATCCTTTAGAACATAGTTGGCAGAGTCGCGCAATCAAATTCATTATACGTAAGCGTGCTCAAAGTCCCGATAGTGCACGCTGATAGCGTCCGCAAATCCGACTTCGCCAAAAATTTTTTTTTTCGCGCGAGCGGCTATTGTTAGCGCAGGGAAAAATAATAATATTTCGCGACAATAATGGATACAAACAGAAACTCGGCATACTAGTCCGAAAACAAAGACAATGTTTCGACCTTTTCCCTTGGGCTAGAGTTCTTAAATGAGGCAGAAAAAGAGAAAAACAAAGGAAAAGGAGACGGCATCAGCGCCGTCACGATTCACTTCAACTGTTATTGTTTACCGTTTTTCGCGTCGGATTTGATGCACAATTCCACCGGCTATGTTCTAAAACAATTGGTTCATGCTTTCAGCTGTGCACTATCGAGTTATGGAGCACGTGGGAAGTTTGGAGAGCACTCAAGAAGCTAGAGTTGCCCTCGGCTATCGCCTCGGGCAACTCTTACGCTTCTTTCGTGCTCTCCAAACTTCCCGCGTGCTCCATAACTCGATAGTGCACGCTAAAGCATGAACCAATTGTTAATTAAAGATGTTACTAAAATATGATACTTACAAGTCAGAGGGATAGTAAAAGAGGACCAGATATTTTCCTGGGNAAGCTAAATAAAATAAAATAAAATATTCAGAGGAAGGTTTAACCCCCCTTTTATAATGCTCTTCCTTTTGCCACATCCTACAATGCTCGATGATAGTTGTTGATTAATTAGTTTTCCTTACTCATGGAGTGAAAATTATTCCAAGTGAATGGTATGATTCCACTCAGTTTGGCATGTTAAATATACCTAATAACTATTCAGATTATTTCCATTGAGTGGGTTCCACTATAACACAAGAGATTGGGAACACACCTGTAGAAGTAGCACTTGCAAGTTGTCCATGAGAATCAAATGCAACTGCTCCTACAGTGTCAAATCCCTGTGAACTTCCAGCACTATCTGTTTGTTTCAAATTCCCAGCATTATAATCCTCAACTGTCTCTACATAATTTGCTGCATTTGCAGAACGGTCATATGATTCAGCTGTGATGAGCACTAATGGATCTTCAACAACAGGAAATCCAATCTTCTTTGCAAACTTTAAAGCTCCTTCCCCAGCCAGTAAGCAATGAGGAGTATCCTCCATGACACGTCGTGCAAGAGAAACAGGGTTGGCAATACCTCGAACACAAGCAACTGCTCCTGAAATTTAATTTGGGAGATGACAAAATCAGCATTGATCTGATGAGCATACTGGTGTTTCACTGTCATAGCTTATTCCAGCTATGATATGAGATGACAAGACACATAACCAATACTCCATGCAAGAATTTTAGTCTGTTATAGGTTAACTGACCCATCATTTTAATTTTCAAGTGTTCCAGACAGTTCATTTACACCCTTTTTACAGTACCCTTTAAATATAAGCCGACAGTCTTGGCTCAAAACTCAATCTTGATTTTCAAAACTTGTGAGAATGCAACATTAAGTTTTGAAGCCCAAGTATCAAAATTTGATTTTCGAGAGTCAAGAATCAACTTTTGAAAATTGAGTTTCAAACATAAATTCCTTACATTATCCAGTCAAGTGTTTTCAAAAATCAACTCTATAATTTCAGCATCAACTTAAATGGAAAGTACAGTCTAAGAAAAGTTTATCTCAATTAGAAGACTTATTGCTCAGGAGTTTGAAAATAACTGCTATTTTGTCCAGTTTGCTTTGTATTAGCGACAAGCGCTTCAAAGTTGCCTATTTTTACAACTTTCGTGGTTAGAGAAACGCCATCTTGGATATTTCATCAGTTGTGACGTAGCAATAGTCAAACTTTGTTCAGCACTTTGATCTTGTTGACCTGTGGAGGCACGGTGGCCTCATGGTTGGTGCGCTCGACTCCGGATAGAGTCCGGTCTGGATTCAAGTCCTGGCTGGGGACATTGTATTGCGTTCTTAGGCAAGACACTTTACTCTCACAGTGCCTCTCTCCACCCAGGTGTATAAATGGGTACTGGCAAATTTAATGCTGGGGGTAACCCTGCGATGGACTGGCATCCCATCCAGGGGGGAGTAGAAATACTCCTAGTTGCTTCATGCTACAGAAACCGGAGTTAAGCACCAGCCTAATGGGCCACTTAAGGCTCGTAAACAGACTTACCCTTTTACCCTTGTTGACCTGTTGACCTTTTCTGATAACAAATTCTAATACTCCTAATAGTTGAAATGAATAAGGATGGGCCAATATGGCTTTTTGAATCGATACGATACCAAATATGATATTTACTCTTTTCTTCGATATTGATACCGATAGTGTGACATCATTGAATGATATTAAGTCACGTGATCTGATTGACTAAATGAAAGCACTCTCACACGGTTTTCCGCTCAGTTCTCTACACAGTCGAACCTCGATTATCCAGACAATTCAATTGTCTGGACTTTTTTCTCTGGTGACTATTTTTCATGAATATTAATAAGTTGTGATCTTGGAAAACTCAGAGTCGCAAAAAGCCCACTAATCCTTTCAAAAGACTGTTAAAACAGCATACTATATTGTGCGCTTTTCAAAATTCGGGGGTGTGATGAGACAAAGAAATATTCTGATGCGTTATTTGTTTGTTAATACAGGCTGTGTAGCTATCACAATAAAAATGATCTTTTCTTTGCTGTATACCTTTTGTTTATATTTCTATCTTATTAATATTCATATTTTCAATTATCCGGACTCTTGATTATCCGTACTCTCGATTATCCGGACTATTTACCTAGGTCCCGACAAGTCCGGATAATCCAGGTTCGACTGTAGTAGTCCATCAACAAGACAATCCAACAAGTCAAAAATTTCAGTTTATTGGGACTCATTTTAGTTTTCCCAAGGAAATGAAAAAGAGCTGCAATGGTACAATCTTTCTGCTTGCTATATCAAGCAATATGCAACTTTCACTTGCATTCATGATCATGAGGCATACAAAGAAAGGTTACCAGTCACTGCATGGGTCACTATTAATAAACAAACATGAATGCCCGACTTATTATGGATATTGCACTTCAGTACTCGACACATCACTCCACAGCTTGGATTTGTTTGAGGAAAAAACTTATGCCTTTCAAATTGATCGTGAGTTGGTGTCTTAGTCCATTTTATTCTTAGGAGGATACATTCTTCTTTTCCATAGGTTTCTCTCAACAGTTGCCTCAAGAGAACCACTCCTAATTTCGAAGACGTGAGTGACTGAGTGGGTCAAAGTTTCTTCTTGAAATTCATTTTCCTGACTTTCTCTCTCTTTCTCCTCAACAGAGGTATCTCCTTCCCCTGAAGATGAGCCATGTTTTGTTGGAAACATAAATGGATGTATTACATCCTCTTGGCTAAATTAAAATCCAAGTAGAGAATTTAATAATTGGCGCCCCCATCACCGCTGTTTTCCTTGTTTAAATCCACTTTAGCAGGGATATAATTAAGCATGCTTAATTGACTAATTTGCCATGTGATAACGAAGATGGTGAATTAATTTTGAAAATGCTGATTTTTGGAAAGTAATTGTTTGCAACTAAAACGCTTTTAGCTAAAATGAATAGCTAGTTAGGACAATGCAAGCAAGGAACTTTTGATATAAGTAAACTATTTCTAGACTGTACTTTCCCTTTAAAGGTTACAATCTCACCAGCTGCCAGATTGTGTCCATCCATTATAAGTGCATCAAGTTCTGCAGTGTTTTCCTCTGTGAGGGCACATCCGCGTCCAGCATTGAAAAGAGGGTTATCTTCCATGTTTCTCACAGCTTCTTCAACAGCTTCTAATGCACTTCCGCCCTGTGTTGAGTAAAATTTCACTTGACTTACAATACTCACCTGACACCATTCTTTACTTGACACTCAGGATAACTTCAACTAAAGTTGTTGAAAATGCCAGTCATTACTAACAATGGCAGCATTTCTCTCACCCCAATGATTAATAGTCAAAAAGATAGTGAAACTTGGTGAAGAAATAAATATCACATTCCTTGCACTAATAATAGCTCTTACTCATTTCCTCCACTCATGTACTTAAGAGAAATATCATCAAAATTTTTGGGGGGGGGGGGGGAAGAAAAAATTTTAGACAAGGGGATCAAATTTTGTTTTAGGAAATAAAGAATCTATTTAAATTTTTTTTACAATAGATTGCCTTTGGGACTGGTGCTGTGCAGTAATCTTACTCAATTTTGGTGTCAGAAAAGTGATAAAAACTGACTGGTCTGATAAAGGGGGGTGCCTTTATCTTTCAGACTCATCCCCTGAATTCATCACCAACAGTAGACCTCTTACGCTTGTATGTTTGGTTACCCATTCCAGGTCAAGTTATTACACTGGTGAACTGCTTCTCTTGAATTTCCTATAATTCACCTTTCTATGCACACATAATTTTCCAGAGACAATGGCAGATGCAGACCTTGAGCTAAGGGGGTGTCCGTTTTTTTTTTTTGTGTGTGTGTGTGCACCAATTGGATTTTCTTCCTTCTGTGCTAATTTTTTTACCCAAAATATGCGTGTGTGTGTGTGTGGGTGGGGGTGTGTGTGTGTGTGTGTGTGTGTGTGTGTGTGTGTGTGTGTGTGTGTGGGTGTGTGGGAGGAAGGGGATAAAGCTGGGAATTCTCTTGAGACCTAAAATACCAGTTAAAGAGGTCTACTGAAAATAAAAATCATGATTTCCACAAATCTACCTCAAGAAGCACTGCATATCCTTTTCTAGCTGCAAGTTGAACACCCTGTTTGTAAGGTTCTTTGAACTCTGCAGGGATAGGCCTACAGCCTCCGTGGATGATAATGCACGGCTCCATTAATTTAAACGTCCCTTGAGGCTGTTTCTGTAGGCATACATAATATAATTGGAGGTTCAGTCGCTGTTGTCTAGTGTCCAGTGTCCGTCGCGCTGAATCCGCGCTCGCGCTGAACAGACTTGAGATGGAGCCCACGATCACTAAGAGTAAGGTCGTTAGAATATATTTGTCGTCATGTAAATAGTTATGTAGTGTCTCGAGTAACGGAAGCATAGTTTGGAAACAAATATGGCGCCGAGTATCGTTACTTAAGTTTTTACCTCCTTGCGAATAGTTCTACTTTGATTTTGCCATGCGCAATTTATAGCAACTTAGAATTACCCTGTTCGGTTCCTCTAAAGTCAAACTGTTCGCACATTAAGTAATTTGAAAATTTTTGCACTGGTGTTTTGCAGTTAGTGTTTGAAAAATTGTGTTATTTAAACATCGGCGTGGTTGATATTGCGCTTTTCAAGTTCCCTGTGCAGCGTGTGAAGACCTGGAAGAAAGCAGAATATGCAGAAAGTAAGACTTCTTGGGGCGATCTGTCATTGAAATTAAGCGGACTTCATGGCAACAGGTAACAAAATATTTTATCAGATAATCATTTAAAATTGAGATGTACTTCTGTGTTGAGCTATAATTTTCTCGAAAGACTTATATAATAGGTGTATTAGCCTATAATAACAGCCATTCATTGTTAATCTGAAATATGCCATTCTTGAAGTCGCTTTTCCCATGTAGCACTTGTTTATAACTTGTAAATATAAATTTATGTTGTTGGTTAAAACTGATAGGACAAAAGGACGCCAGTCTGGGTCGGTTTGTATTTTGCTTTGTTTAAGAATGATGGTTATTTGTTTTGAACAATAGAAAGTACAAATTCAATGAGAATCCTCGTCATAGGTCTTAAAACACTCCTGTGTCAGGTCCCCCTTCCCCCATTCAAATGATGGTTGTTTAAAAGAACTTTGTTTGCAAATAAATATAACAGTGGTTGGGGAGTAGAGTGTTTTAAGCAAACCAAAGAAGGGTTGGAAGTAAATATGATTTGACGTCCATTCACAAAGAACCATAACATTTACATGTGCTTGAAAATTCTTACTTCAGGGTGTTTACCTGTAAGCCTTTTTTGCTATTATTAAAATGTCACTGAGTAGAGTCAACTCCTTTTGATTGAATATTGATAATGATAATAATAAGATATTACAAGGAATGGATTGAACCCAGGAGTAACAGTTGATCATGAGGTTCTTTTCTTTGGGTGGAAACTGAGGTAATTGAGGTGCCAAACCAATTATTCGCAGTATGGAAATTTTGCATGCATTAAGTATATTTTTGAGTTACATTTGGGTTGTTTTCTGATTTGCCAGATGAAGCACCAAGATCAGCTAAAAAGAAACATAGGAGAGCCAAGTCCAACTTAGAGTCACAGGTTTGTGATTGAGGATTGGTGGACAAATTATTAGTTTAAAACTTCAGAGCAATTTGTAACATTGATATGAAAACATGAAACATGTAGAGATGATCTGAAGGGGATGAGAATGGAGAGGATCAGCATACAATGCAAAGAACAACCATGAAAACTTCAGCAATATTTTCAATATATGTGTATATGTACACCCCGTAATTAACCCAGCTCTTTGAAATCCTTGGTGTGTATACTCTTATGTGTGAGCATTTTTTCAGAAAGTGTTGTTCTAATCCACTGGAAGTGTTGGTGAAGAGTGCAAATTCTACAAATAGATGTTGATATTACATATTCTATTCAGGGCACCAGTAGAGTGCAAAACATCTCTGGTTTAGTGTTACTCACTCATGATTAAAGCTGCCAACCTATTTCTCAAAGGAAGAATTCTCTAGCTAGTGAACAGAATTCTTGGTCTCAATATTTTTGTTGTGAGCTATTTTATTATTCAGACCTGGAGTATGTATTAATTCTATTATCCTGTACTATCATTAATTCTATTATCCTGTATTATCATTAATTCTATTATCCTGCTACTACATTGTAATGCTGTGGGAAATGCAGTGACCTTATGGCTGGGTTCAAGACCTGGCTGGCTGAGTTTGGTTTTCTTATGTTACTTATGTCATTTCTTTCAAACTTATACTATTTCAATCATATGTTTTGTTTTAGAGAGAGGTTGGTGGATCAACAGATCAATGTAGGTGCATTGCATATAATCTATAGAATACAATAATATACATCAATGTACATAATCTCCTTACTGTTCTATACATTTCTTATGAAACTGGAAAGGAGAATTTGTATAAGAATCAAAGAGCTTCTCTAGATGGTGATCATTTCTTGTGACCTTAATGTGAGACTTGTCAGTGCATGATACTTTGAGGAGAAATTACCGGTAGATGCAAGTCACTTACGGGAATTAAGTGGAAATTAGATATCAGTTGTGGGAAAAAGTTGAGTTTTAACTGTTATGCAAGAATTTAGAACAAGTAGCTTTCAATAACATGATTTATGACTGCAAGTTCAGGAGTGTGTAGTGAAAGATTGTTTGTTCTATAATCCATATGATTTTGGGAGTTGGGGTTTTCCATTGAAAATTGTGATAGTACACTTCACTTGCACATACAGAGAGGATACTACGTGGCCACACAGAGAAATGTAATTTCTTTGTGAGTGTTGAAAAATATTCTGACTACAAACAAGTGAAATTAATATTTTCACACAAGATGAGAAATTTTGTATCTCCAAGCAGCCATAACACTAATGAAATACTAAATAATTTCACTAATTTCATTAAATCATTTCACATAGCAATAGTGATATTTTCACATGTGAAGATAACATTTTATCTTTATGTGTGAAGGTATCATGTTTTCTTGCAAGTTGTCACTAGCTATTTCATGGGTGTTTATAAAATACATTGTACCTCTCTGTTGGTGGTATAACATGATAAGATTCCAATTTATATGGTAGGTTTAAATTTGTTCACTCTGCATTTTACTGACTCAATCTTTGATGAGTAACTGAAGAGACTCTGTGCAGTTGGGGGTGGGCAGGGAATCTATTTGTAAATTTGAGAGGAATTCTGTAATCTATTTCATTTCTAATCTGTATATCAGTGATAACTCAGGAGAGCTCTAGAGTGTTAAAAGCTCGTCAACAGACGCAGGCCAGGTTTGAATCATTTCTTCAAGATGCAGTAGCGGAAGACAGGTTTGAAGTTTCTATATAATTGCAGATACATGCTAATTGAAATATTTTCTTAATGAACCCCATTTTAGGCTGACATCTTGTATTAAGAAGACACTAACTTGAATTCTCATCAATTAAATTTGGGACACGCAAGACCTGTATTCAGGCACTTTTTCAAATGCGTTTACCATAAATTTTGATATTTGCAAAGGTGTGAAGATTTAAAATTATATTTAAAAATGTGAAGATTTAAAATCATATTTCTTAGTAGGCCTTGTTACAGTAACTACATATTGTGCTAGCCAGTCTCCTGGACTAGACTTAGACCACAAGATGTTGTCTTTATGGTCCACTAACTATTAACATGTCCAATATCACTTTCAACAATTGATTAGTTTTCAAGAAACAAGAAAAAAGAAGAAAAAGAAGAGAACACACACAAGTGATGCAGTGGTAAGGTTCTTTTTTTTAATGAATAAAGGCTGCTAGTTTCGAAAGAAACTGTTTGGGGCTGCGTCGGTGGGAGTAACGAAATAATTTGGATATATCAACAAAGTTGAAATGGTAAATTGGCCACCGTAAAGATTACAAAAGCTGACGTTTCGAGCATTAGCCCTTCATCGGAGCTCCGACGAAGGGCTAACGCTCGAAACGTCAGCTTTTGTAATCGTTACGGTGGCCAATTTACCATTTCAACTTTGTTGATATATCCAAATTATTTCTTTTTTTTTAATTAAACAAAACTAAGTTTGCTAGTGATTGAATTTTCATAACTGGGTAAATGCTATAATACTGGCAAGCTTAATAAGGAACTTGTGGTGCAATATTGTCCAAAAATTGATACTTGTTCTCTTTTAGCTCGAGACAATTAAGTCTGGGAGTCCTATTTCTAAACCAACATCACAATCAGAGGAAAATCTCCTTCAGGCAAACTTATACAAAGATGGTAAGACAACATATTTCTGGTTTTTATGAATAAATTTTGTAACAAATCTTGAACTTTGTAATCACTTAAAGAAATAGTGCCTCACAAGGAATCAAACAATAGATGTTTGGATGTTATGCTACAAGTAACTATGCTCTTAGTTAGGCCTGCATACTACAAGGACCAGCAATGCTCAAAGTGGAAGTAGAATCACAAAGATAATTTTTTTCATTTACTCAACATCAGAAATCAAAATTTATCAATTCTTCCTTCATTGTTATGTTAGATCATTTTATACAGGACGGAAAAGAAAATAAACAAAGCTACAAAGATCTGTTAGAAGGTTCAGTGACAGAGCCAGCCAGAGTGGATGGCGACACTCCAGAAAAGAAGACACCTAAGAAAGCACGACCAAAGAAGACTAGAACTTTGACAAGGTAGAGCAGTTATTAGTGAATAAAGCTAGTTATTCAGAAAGATGAGTCACCCAAATTTAGTTAAACAAAAAGCCAGAAAGTCCACTACTAAGAGTTTGAATTGTCATCTGTGCAGACAGTCAGAAAGAGGTTAGACAGTCATATAGACAGACCTGAAGGTAATTTAGACAATCAAATGAAATCAGACAGATGTCCAGAGAAACATTACCACAGTAGTCAGGTGGAGGGACCACAGGTGGACAATCAGTCAGAAAGATTACCTCACTCACCTATTTAGTGATATTACCTAATTAATCCTTTTTATCTCCAATGGTACTTAAGGCAACAGCACTCTCTTTCCATTTAGCCCTGTTTTGTGAAGCATTTTGTTTCTCATCCCCTCGTAAGTCTTTCCTTTCCAAGCTCAGCCATGACAGTTTGGAAAGACCACCACTAGATCTAGAGACAACTGCTCAAATAAGGCAACTGACCATGTATGTACTATGCATTTTTTTTC